CATTCCTGTTCGAGAGCATTCGGAGTCGCATTTCATGTCCAACTGCTGCAAATGGCAGCGCAACGCCCCTTTAAGATTTCCGAGCCAGCTGCTAGGGCTGCTGCTGATGCCTGGACAAAGTTTTCATTTTAATGGAAGAGACAAGTTCTGAATGCAAATCACAATTTGCTGTTGATGTTATGGGAGAGAGAGCTGCTGCTGCTTTGGCTGCTCCTGCTGCTTGTTGTCTTTGTTTGCCAATCGCCAAGGCAATTAGTTAAATTTATTATTTGAGCAGGCACCGCAACCGCAGCAGAGCCGCAGCAGAGCCGCAGCAGAGCAGCAGCAGCGCAGGCGACCAAGTCCAAAATTCAAAACCAAATTCAAACCCAGCCAGAAATCCCAGCCAGAAGCCATGTGTCAGCGGCAAAGCAGCTTCCATTTGTCTCCAAGCGCTGGGATTAATGACAAGCAGCGAGCCGAGCGACCCACGAGACATCCTTAACTTGCTAGGACATGCATGAAAATTGTCATCCGACCGACCGACCCTAAGCCCCATGCCCCATGCCCCATGCTCCACCCATACCCATTCGCCGACCCCAGCGCAGCTTCGTAAATATTTGGCTTTAAGCATAAGCGTGTCGCAGCGGCCCAGGCTAATTCCATTTTATGCTTTTCGCATAAAATAAAATATTTAAATTATTATTTATTGATGCACTTTTTCATGCAACGCAATTTGTTTGGTAATTTCATTTTTTCTCGTGTTTTTGCAGTGCTTTTTAACGGAACTTTTCATCTGGCGCTCTCTATATATAAGTGTGTGTGTGTGTGTGTGTGTGTGTGTGTGTCGGATGCTGGCGAATGCATTCATCTATAAATTGCGCATCATAAATCAAAGGCGAGACTTCAATTAATGCTCCACTAGCCCCATCGATAATTCATTACTAATTTATCTTCTTAAACACAAACAGATATCTACATTAATTACAATGCAATTACTTATGCCCACGTACCGTTATGCACACCTACATATATACATACATACCTACATATATATATGTGACTATAATTAGGTACGTGTGCAAGTGGGTGGTGGGCGTGGCAATTAACATTTACATATGCTACTTATCAAAAGCAAAACAAAAGAGCGCGAAATATATGAGCATTAATTCTATAATAGACTTCTGTGGGAAGGTAAGAGCTTGTAATTAAAATGCTAGAACTTAAGCACTTTTCATTAATAGTTTAACTGAGTTGAATCTAGTTAGTTGAACAGTTAGTTGCTCAAATGTTAAGTCCCTCAATTATTCGGACAATTAAGCAAAGAGAATCGTAGTTTGTAATCTCTTTGGATAATTAATAGCCGTGACATAACTATGCAACATAGTTAGTTAAAATGTGCTATTATATATATAATAATATATAATATTTAAAAAAATAATAATGTAAATTAATATCGAAATTAATCATATACATATATGCTTTAAAAATACTTTAATAAAATATAAAAAATATTTGTTGTGTTTAATAATGAATATCTTAATTTTGTAAAATAAATAAAATAATCACTAATTGATCAGTTTTAATACATAAATATTAATAATTATTTTATTATTAATTTTAAGAACTAATAATAATGCAAATATTAATAATAATTATTTAAAAATAATACTTTTAAGTTGAATAAAAATATATTTGGATAGGCATGTATCATACTTTATCAGCGAAAATAATAATAATAAAATTTAAATAATTTAAAAATTTAACTATACAATAAATATATATATATATAAATACAATAATGATAATACAATAATATAAATACAACAAATATATATATATATATAATTTTTTAAACTATAATCACTTTGATTTATTTATATGATTTTTATTAAAATAAATTAGGGGTAAACTTTTAATAAACATTTCAATAAAAATAATTATAATAAAAGTGAAACCAATTATTATTTATTAAATTATTTATCATTGAAGCATTCAATACTGATTTTTATTTTAATAAATAGAAGTTAACAATGTGGACTAGTTTATTAGATTATAACTCTTACCTCTAAGTAGCTATAACATAGAAGCACCAAGAGCCTATCTCATGCTGAATTTAATCTTAATAAATTATACACAGCGTGTGATAACTAAATGGAATTTAAAATTTGAACCATCAAAAGTCTAGACATGGTAATTTGCTTTTAATCAGATTGTCTTGAATAATCTAGTTGCAAACCAAATATGCGCTTAATCATTATTTAATATCTTTTGACACTCTTTCCTAGAATTGGGTTAAATAGCTATAGATTCCAATCAAGTGTAAAAAGCGCATTTAGAAATGCGTGCGTTTTTCGAGCTGTTTAACTTGATCACTCACTCAAGCACTGCGCACTTAAGAATTTTTATTGGCACTCAAGTTTTGGAAATGGCTTTCGTTTTGTTGTCTTCTTCAAACGAGCTACTCACCCAGTGAAGTTGATACATTTGGTTGCAGGACGTTGTCGGATTTTATTGTGATGACATCTTGGTGGCTCCTGCAGCTGACAACGGAAGTCGGACAATCGGACATCGGCCATCGAGCATTGAGCATTGAGCATGGAGCATCGTGCAGCTGGCAATGGGCAGTGGGCAGCGGGTAGCGGGCATCGTAAAAGTCAAAAACACGCCTTTTGTTTACAACTAGAAATGGGCGCCCATAGACGCTGGGCAGTCGCTGCGTTGCTGGGTATTATCGCAGTCACATCGTAAAAGGCGAGAGCACAATGTAAAAACAAAGCCCGGAGTCGTGGGCAGCACAACGGACAACGATAAGTTTGGCGCGGCACACACGGCAGCTGCAGCTGCCGCGCCAGGTCCAAGTCGAATGAACCTGCATGTGGAGGCGTGCGAGCCGTAACCAAAGCAACGCGTTTCGTTCCGCGCTGGAAGACCGTTTGGATTACGTTCCACGTTCGCCCAAGTGGAAGCCAGAGAGCGCGCTCAGCATCCCAAAAAGGTAAACAACGAGACGAGAAGCGCAAGCGCCTGAACACTGAATGCTGGACAGGCTGCACTGCTCCCAGTTGAGCTACAGTTGAACCGAGAGCTGAGAGCAGGCATCGCCAGCGGCTGCAGCGCATACGGGTTTCACTTTTGCCATTTTCTACGGCGGGGTTGAAAGCTAAAACTACCCCCAGAACGAGAGCAGTCATGAGGCAGCGAGAGAGGGTGAGAGTGGAGAGTGCAAATGATGCTAAACTCTGGTTTCACTTGCGTTCCAATCGACTTTTTGCGGGTGGTTGGACCAAAAATCAATAACGCCGACATCCATGTTGGCCAGCCACCCAATCCTCCCGCTTCCGCTCGCGCTCCCGCTCCCGCTCCCAGAGACTAGGCAGACAATGAAATGATGAAGCCGACGGCGTCAACGCTTGTAACAGCGCACGTGTTGTCTCTGTTCCTGAGTCCTGTGTCCTGTGTCCAGGCACCCAGCCAGTTCCGATTCCCTGCTCCAACTCCAACTGGGGTACATGTGCGTATGCATTTGTGTGTATGTGTGTGTGCTGTTAACGGCAACAACACCAATTACAATATAGACAGACATTTAGTGTAGGATTGCATTTAGGAATTGCGCCCGCTGCTGCTGCGACCCCAAAGGATAATACACATGTGCAAAAAATGACTATGAAAAATGTTGTCTAAATGTATTTAGCAACGAGTTTCTAATGGAAACAATTAAGTCATTAGCAAGTGTTGATTTTCATGACTGGCCACGAGAGGCAACCGGAGGCGGAGGCTGCGAGGCATGTGGCTGGTAAACTAATGCGCCCGCTCATAATGGAGTTGGCATCCACAGAGACATCGCTCATGTGGTTAACTGCCCGCCGCATGGCACCCTCATGAGCCACGTGCTTAGTAGGCAGCATATAGTATATGTATGTATGTATGTATATACATACATACCTACATACTATATGGTATATATTATATTTATTCCTACTCGTCTGTGGCTTTTGGCAAGTTTTTGGGCCAAAAAGGCGGCAACAGAGACGACGACGACGAGGACGACGAGGACGACTCTTTGGGTCTGGCTTTACAAATGCCTCGCATTTTTCTCAATTACAATGAACAACTCACTTGTGTGAGTGCGTGTGCTTGTGTGAGTGTGTGTGCGTTTGGGTATCAAGAGGTGAACTAAAGTCCATTTTTAACCATGATTGAAGAGTTAAATGTTGTGGCAGTTTGAACAGCTCCAGTCAGCTCAACATAAATGCCAAGTCTCGTCTCCCCCTCTATGTCTGTCGCTTACTCTGCTTCTCTCCCTCTCTCTCTCCCACATGTTGATGTACTTAGTTGTTTGAGCTTAGGAATTGTAGTTATCTAAAGTTATTTATAATTGATATGCAATCACAAGTGTCACAATAATGGCTAGAATTTAAAATATATTTAAAAGTATATCAATAATATCATAGATATCTGAGATAAATGTTGTTCATTCCCTTACATTTACTTCGCTTCCTCTTCTCATACTCTCATAATATATCAGTTCATTGTGATTCCCCCAACTGATCAATTATAATCCTATCGAACTCTTCGTTTTGCCTAGAAGAGAATTCATAACAAATTGACTTCTCGATCATCTATATTATATATGTACATATATACGTATATATTCCTTTTGAGCTTCACTCTCCTTCTCAATCAATCAACTTTATTCAAGAGCTACTCCTTATCTACCATCAAGTATTCCAATTATTACAAACACCCTTTTTAACTAAGTTGGTTTTCAATTCAAGTATTTTTAAAGAACCGTTTTGAAGCTACATAGACAAATAAATACGTGATAACATTCTACGTCTATACTTAATCTCAACTCCCTTTAATATCGAAGTGCAAGTTCGCTTATCTTTACGACAACAGAGCAAACATCCCTCCAAGGCAGGCGACACGACGATATAGAAATAAGAAACACTACCAACAACAAGCATATAATCTCGATTCGAACAGGAAAGAAGTACATATACATATGTGTTTATATATATTATTTATGAATTTATGTTTATTTGTATGTGGAAGCGCGACCCAGGCCTGAGAGGCAGATAGGCAGCGAGTTCTCAAGGCACAAACATTCAAACGGAATCAGAGTTAATTGAAAGAATCATTAATAATACGACTGGAAGCTCTTGCCAGACAATTACGTATATATACTCTATATGCATGTGTATATCGTATATAAGACATAATACCAAACAATTGCCGAAAAAATTAAAGTAGCAATTCAAGTCTTTTGTGTGTGTGTGCGTGTGTGGGAATCTCCGGATGGGTCTACGACGCGGGCATGGGCACGACGACCTGGAAGAGATGCAGTCGGGCATCGGCATGGCCCAGCTTGTTGGTCGCATTGCAGTAGAAGTCGCCGTAGTCCTCCTCGGAAACGCTATCTATGCGAAGCACCGAGGTGGTTGTCTCCGACGAGGAGGCGGTGTTGGAGATCTCGTAGTTCCGGCTAGACTGCAGCTGTACGCCCTTCTTGAACCACACCACAGTCGGCGCCGGGTAGCCCTGAACGCTGCACTCCAAGTTCGCCGTATGGTACAGCATCTGCGCCACCTTGGGCCGGTGCACGGCTATCTGGGGCCGGAACTCCACCTCAACGCGGATCAAGCGCTTGTCCGGTTGACCCTCTCCGTTTTGGGCAATGCAAAAGTAGCCCCCACGATCCATACGATTCACCTCCTTTATCTTGAGTGTGGGCTCGTTCAGCACATGGCCACCGGCCGGCAATAAGGCGTGTTGCTCGCGTGCCCACGAAATTGTGGGCTTGGGAAAGCCATCGGCATGACAGGTCACCTCCAGATTTTGTCCCTCAGTCACCGTAGTGCTCTTAGGCGTTGACTCAGCGATAACGGGCGGCGTTTTGATAAGCAAATTTAGCTTCTTCGTTACCTTTGCAGTGGAGGAGACGATCACCTGGCACTCGTAAGGGCCTTTATCGTTCGCCTCGATCTGGCGTATGCGGAAGCTGTAGACGGCGCTATCCTGGTCGGGATTCTCATGCACGGTGATATTATAACGCTGATCCGGCAAGCTGAGCATATTGCGCATGCTGAGCACCACGGCCGAGTTGGGCTCCGACTTGGCCCAGCTGACGGTCATTTGTCCCACATGCTCCACGGTGCAGTTGAACTCCACGGTGTCGCCCACCCGGGCCACCACATCCGGACTGATGTAGCTGATAACTGGCTGAGCGCTTGCGCTGGCCCACGAGATGCAGCACAGCCATGCGAATAGATAAAAGAGGTTCAGCATTTCGGCTGCTGATAATGTGCCAAAAGATTCGATTTGCTCGAGAGTTCAATGCGCTGCTTGCCGATTGCCGATTGCTGACTGCGCCGTTGTTGTGTAACAGTTGTTTGCTTCACGTTCGCCGAGCGACTGACTCGTCTTCGGCTCGGGCTTCGGCTGCGAACTCTGAGCGCCGCTCAAAACTGCAGGCGCTGCTCGCGTCAACGCCGGCATCGACGTTGACGTTGACGTTGACCGATCGCTTGTTATTGTTATCTCTACTTTAAGAACACACCAAATCGCTGCAAGAGCTCATGATCATATCTCCGCTTTGCTTTTGTTTACTTTCACGCTATGTTTTCGTTGCTATGTTTGCATGCATGTATTGGTGTGTATTTGTTGTGTTTATTAGTTGAGTTGTTGTTATTGCTGGACAGCTCACTTATCACTTTAACTTTGGCTCTGCACTCTTCACCATAAATTGATTTGTTTTGCTCTACTGCTGGCTGCAGCGACGTAGACTGCGACGGCCACGGCCACGGCCACGGCGAAGGCGAAAAAATACCGAAATCTCCTCGAAGAATCGCGGTTCGCGAGCAACTGGATAAAACTGACGCCAAATTTTGAATTTGTGACGCCATTTGCCCCTGAAAAACGTTTAGAAGTTCGTGGAAAGGTGCTGCACGCACTCACACAAACACACACACATACACACTCATACGCTTGATGATTTATGACATGGCGCAGGGAACAAAGGAAGCGACATGCTGGCAGCGGCAACGACAGAGCCAGCAACAGCAACGTCCTCTGCTGGAAAGACCTTTCGCCCGTGGAAATGCCAATGCTAGGTCGCGATCCTGCATGGCCACCATATGCATGCCATCTCTTTTGCGCTGACGCTGCTGGCCATGCTCAAGAGCAGAGGCGCGTGCGTGAAAACAAGATTGAAAAGGGGGTGGAAACGCTGTGACTGTTAAAAATTTTGCATGAATATCCTTAATTTATTTCTGAATTTCTGTGAATTAAGACAGACGACTCTAAGGCAATGATGATATGTTTTTTTTTTTTTTCATAATCATTTACATATGCATAAATATAAATTATTTCGAGACCTTGCATATTTCATATTCATGTACATGTACTATATAAAAATACAATCATTTCATTTTTTGTATTACTTTAAAAGTTTACCCATCAAGCATTCAATACAGCCATTAGAAATACTTAAGTAGGGATTTTTTATATTTCTCTAATATCCTAATGTTTGTTAAGGTAATAGTATTTTTTAATCCAAAATATATTATAATAGCGACGTCTTTGGGTTTTTTATCAGACAAAATATAAGTATTATTATTATTTATTTTTTTTTTTTCATATAGTGTCTTTAAAGTATTTTGTAATATTCTTCCGTTAGAGCTTTCCCAATATTTTACAGATTTCGCAATTCAAATAAAACTGTTGAAGCATTTGCAAGTGGGATAATTCCAAGTGAGATAGTTCGCTCCTCTGGCCGCAGCAAATTAAATCAGACCTTAAAACGTGACTGTGACTTCTGTCGAAATGCGGCGGATGTGGCAAAGGCGGCGGCAACGAAGGCGGAATACGACTCAGAATCCGATTCACAGTCAGATTCAGACTGCGAGACGCAGTCGGAGGCGGAGTCAGAGTCAGCGTCAGCGTCAGCGTCAGATTCTGTGGCAGGGAGCAGATGAAAGTGCATCCTCTGCTCTCGGTGCACATTTGAATCAGATAATTGTAAATTGTGTAAAATAATAAATTTCAAGTTAACTATCTGTGGACCGCATAGGGCGCTTCTATTCTTTTTCATTGCTGCGTATGAGTTTCCCGCCAGTTTCCACTGTTTTCCCGCTGTTTCCCTCTAGCAGTTGCTGCTGCCGTTGCACTTGCAGTCTGTAGTCCTGCAGTTCACATCATCATCGATGCTCCTTCTGCTATGCAGCGACTGGACATGGTTTTTCTATATGCATACATATACATATACACATATATTGAATTTATGTACATATACGTATGTATGTATACACACATGTATGTATGTGTGCGTACATTTGTGCACTGGAACGGCTGGCTGTGTGCACGTTCACGGATCTGAAACAGAAAATGTCAAATTTTGTAATTTATTACCCGAATCCTGTTTCTGTCAGTGAATCTTTTGGGTGTCTCGATTCGGTAGGGGTCGAGGCTTTGCCATAGTCCTTTGTCCACATATTGCGTGTGAATTTGTGGCCCAGTGTGCGAGTGTGCATGTATGTGTGTGTGTGTTTGTATGTTGTGCCTGTTATGTTTGCTTTTGGCTGGCTGCCGGGCTGAACTGTGAATTGACTCTGGCTGCCAGTTGACACAACAGCAATAGCAACAACAATAACAACAGCAATAGACAGCTTTTCCCATCTAAAGTCAACATGAACAATGATCGGGTACATATGTATGTATATGTATATGTATATTAGGTTAACGGTACTTAGTGCATTTCAAAACTGCTCCATAAACTACTGTCAATTTGACAATTTTATCACTTTCAACTAAACATCGACTAAAATTGTAGACAAAAATGAACATATACATGTCAAAAATAAGGAACCAAATTAAAATTATTGCAAATAGGCTAATAAAACTAATTTCCCCATATCATACGTAACAATTTTTTCCTAATGCAATCAGTTTGACTATTAATATGTATTATTATGTATCACTATATACTTGCACATTTTTTGAACAATACAATACAAAAAAACTTGAACTATACCATAATTATAAAGTTAAAAGCGTATCATTCCATGTATTTAAATTTTAAATATTTCCGCCATTTACAGCTTTCTTATAAGCGACATCTATGTGTTAGACGATGCACTAGCTGCAACTCCTATCTGGCAGCATTAAATTGAACAAAGCGACACCTAGCGTTTGCCTCTTATTTCGTTCGCAGCACATCGTTGCCACTAGCTACGTCAAACTATGTGGCAACACTTCGCGTATTCTGTTTTGAATTGTTGTTCTTTAGCTCGAAATAACGGCGGTTAGCGGATGCGATGTAAATGAAAGAAAAATGTGGGAATAATAAATTAGCGATTTTCAAATGTAACCGGTTACAATTCACATGCAAATGAAAAGTTAATTGAATTAATTCCAAGTGAAACGCGCCAAAAGAATACAAGAAACTAATTTGAGTGCTGGGTGGAAGGAAAATGGCGCAACCGCCGCCGGATCAAAATTTTTACCATCACACTTTGCCGCATCCGCACCCACACACACACCCACACCCGCACCCTCATCCACATCCGCACTCTCACTCACATTCGCAGCATCCACAGCTGCAGTTGCCGCCACAGTTTCGCAATCCATTCGACTTAGTAAGTTTACAGTGCAACTGCAACTGCAACAGCAACAGCAAAAACCTGCAACAACAACATTTCTTATCTTCTAATCCAAGCTGTTCGATGAACGCACGGGCGCCATCAACTACAACTACATACGTCCCTATCTGCCAAATCAAATGACCAAGCCAGGCAAGTACACTCATACATACAAGCAAACGCATTTATTTATATAGAAAGCCTATATTACCAGACTCCCCTTTAGCTATAAACTAAAAAAGAAAGTAAATACAATTCACTCTATTGGAAATATTGACACAGAAAACTCTCAGTATGTATGTATGTATGTGTATGTGTGTAACTAACATATAAATAACAGATATATGAATGCATTTAACATTTTTATGTAATTAATTAACATAATTGTTAAGAAACCGCGAAGTGCAGCAGCATTTAATACTTTTTAACCCAATTACACAATATTCAACGTTTTGGTTAATTCATAGAGTAAATTTGACAAAACATTAAAAATGTGCGTATATAAAATATAATATATATTATTAGGATATATTCTTTAAAATATCATTTAACTGTTATTCCGCTGTTTCTACATATCTCCACACGCAGATGAGTTGTCCGACTCGTTGGTTATGCGACGACCTCGTCGAACTCGCACTACATTCACCAGCTCGCAGATAGCCGAGCTGGAACAACACTTTCTGCAGGGACGCTACCTAACCGCCCCCCGTCTGGCAGATTTGTCGGCCAAGCTGGCGTTGGGCACAGCCCAAGTGAAAATTTGGTTCAAGAATCGCCGACGTCGTCATAAGATCCAATCGGACCAGCACAAGGATCAGTCCTACGATGGCATGCCGCTGTCCCCATCCATGCCCAATGTGCCACAAAAAGGGGTCGATCCGGATCCACCTAGTCTGCAGGCATTAACCCTGAGTGGTGGCGCTGCTACTCCCAATGCTCTAACGCCGTCGCCCACGCCGTCGACACCTACAGCGCAGCTCGTTGAACATTACGGCGAGTCCTTTGGCGCCTATTACAACTACAACCAGCAACAGCAGCAGCGACATGTGGTGCAGTTGCACGGCGGACAGCATACCGGCCAGTATGGAGTCTCTTCAGCGTCAAGTGCAACTGCTCAATTCTTTCAGCACGGCAATCTTCATACACAGCAGCAGCAGCTCCATCAGCATCCCCAGCAACTGCACCATCATCACGTGATTGCCCAACAACAGCAACAACAACATCAGCAGCAACAACAACAGCAACAGCAGCAGCAACAACAGCAGCACCAGCAACAACAATATCACCATTTCGATTTTCAGCAGAAATCAGGAAATGCCTGTCGAGTGCCCTTGATCAAGTGCGAGGACGAGGAAGAGTACAACTACAATGGATCATATTATATGCGAACGACACAAACGGCGGCGCTGGCTCTGTCCGGCAGTAGCAGCAGCGGCAGCGGCAGCGGTAGTGGTAGCATGCCGGCCGTCGAGTCGGGCGTGACGTCTGCTATGTCGCCCGGCTCCGAGGTCTACGAGCCATTAACACCAAAGAATGATGAAAGTCACAGTTTGTGTGGCGTTGGTCCGGCTGGCGGCGGCGTCAGCGTTGGCGGCCCATCTGCCATACCTGTCGGCGCCGCCGATGTCAATGACGACATGGACAATGGACCAAATAAGAAGACGACGACGCTACAAGTAAGTACATATAAATTCATCTCGTTCAGCCTAACAACTCTGATTTAAACAGAATTTGGAGCCACTCAAGACCACCAGTAATGTGGTCGCAGACAAATCCTGTGACAATGGCAGCGACGTCCTGGCCGCCGGACTACTCACTGTGGCGCGCAACAGTCTGATCGGGTGTGGCAGCAACGGCAGCAGCGCCTTTGGCAAATTTGGCAAACTAACTGCTCCACTGGCTACGCAGACGCCGCCGCCTCCGAATGCTGCATTGGAGGCCATGCATGAGGCAAATCAATATCAATGCACGATGGATACGATAATGCAAGCGTATAATCCACATCGTAATGCTGGAGGCAACACGCAGTTCGCCTACTGCTTCAATTAGGAGCAAACCCAATAATAGCATCTAGAATAATATATTATACAAATTGTAAAAACACAAATTTGAATGTTTGTGGTGTTTCTATAGCTTTAGAGGATACACGTTAATTCCTGATTGTACAAAGACTTACTGATTTGTAGATAATTGTAGTATTTTTAAGCTAACTAATATTGGTTTAATTGCATTTAGCTTAGTTAAGTTATAGCTGTTAATGCATCTTCAATTTGTCAATACTTTCTTGGAAGCGTCCTTTGCAAAATGTTCATTCATCTCGTGTTCGTCTGGCAGGGCCTTTCCAAAAGCCCAGCAATGCCCACCCAGATCTACTTGAGATAATATGGGCTTAATTGAAGGTTTTGCAGATGAAGCTTCCACAAAAAATTTGCAAGTAGAGTTCGAACTCATTTTATAGCTTTGATCAAGTGGCATGGCTAACAAAAACTGTACTGATCTAAATGAAAAATGTTTCTCTTGCTGATAATCGCAGGGCCGTCTGTAATAATTCTTCCTGCTATTATCATCCAAAGATCGAACGTTTAAACAATAATCATTCATCAGAATATTTTCAAATCCCACTATGCCACAGTTTTCATGTGACAATCAAACATTCTACACGTGAGAATTGTTAAAAAATTGTTAAAAATTACATGAAAGACCTCGATCACGGTTATTAAAACAACACCTAGAATTTGCTTGGAAATTTTTTAGATTTATGATGAATTGAATATGTATTGAAAAATTTAACCAGCTGCGGTTTCAATGGTGCACTATTAAGCAGATATTTTAAGCCTTAACTTTATGTTTAACTGTTAAAACATATAACACTTTGGAATATAAATTTAATATTCAACTCAATGGCTCTCCACTAGCACATTTTGGATTATATATTTAATTTTCAACTGAATAGCTCTCACAATTAATTTCTTAATAAATTTTACAAACCAAGCAAAACTATGTTTCAAAGATGTTACGATAATAGAACTGAACGGCTTAGTAATTCTTTAAATATTTATTTGATAATAAATGTATATTAAGTTGGTACTTTTAGATACCATCTCATTAAAGCTTAGATTGAGAAAAAATGGCTAAAAATGTTTTATTAAAATTAATAAATATATCAAAAATTGATATTATAAATAAAGAATATTTATATATATTATAAATATAAATAAGGCTAGTTTAGGGCCATCAACAAACTAACTAAATAGCTCTGACAGAATTATCAGGAGTAGCTACATACATAATTAAATCAATTTAATAACTTGTAAAAAGAATTGTTCAGATTTATTTCAAATTTAACTTTGGAATTTCATGAAATTTTCTTTATGTTTATATATGTATTTAGTTAAACATTATCTTACAAAAATGCAAGTAGGCAAATTTGACACGTTCGAAAACGATGCGATGAAAGAAAACTGTAGCTGGTTTTCCCGAAAATCTTATGAATTTAAAAAGAGAATCTTTTATGATTCGCAGGCACATGTGTGCAATAAAATCCGATCCGCGAATATTCTACGAATCGCGCATAATAAAATTCGCGCTTAATTTAAGTCCACAACGACCAGGTGCCTCCGTTTACCTCTACCTGCCCTGAACTACTTAGGTAGGCTGGCTCCTGGCCGGGTGTGCTCGACTCGCTGGCTCCGAGGCGCCGTGCTTGAGGTCGCGAACGCAGACTCGGCTCTTGCAACGCAGGCAACTTGTTGCAGCACATTTCTTTGATATAAAATATGGAAAATCCAACATTTGCATGAAAGAATGAAACTTGGGTTTCTCCCATATGCAATTTTATTGACTCGTTCCCTAATCATTTGTTGTTAACTGGAGGAACTAAAAAGGGGGCGCGCATAATGACAGATTATTGCAAATTATTATTGACTCAGAAGGAAAATTTTTTGCGAATACAATAGATAAAATATAAATAACAAATAATATGCTATATTCAATAACTAAAGCACTTCTAATAAAATATTCATATATACATAATATAATATAATTATATTTTGTAGTTTTTGATATTAATTGAGACCTAAATAAATAATGGAGCATTAGGTCTTGTATGATTTGTAATTATATAAATATCTAATAACCATGGAACTCATTATTATTTTTTGTATACTAGAATATGTAAATATGTATAGATACATTAGCTAATATATTTCATGTAATTTGTAAGCTCATATTGCTCAAATTAAATACAATGTGAAATCTAAAATATTCTTGAGAAATATCCGTTATATATGTATTTTCCTTTTTATGGGTTTTTATTTAATTTTTATTATTATTATTTTAATTTATTTATTTATTTTTTTAATGTGAATCAAAACTAATTATTTTTATTTATATTTCTATACAAAAAACTATTATAAATATTATTCTGCACTAGAAATATACATCTATATGAACATATGCAGAGATATTTTCATTTAAAAGGCTTACTATTTAGACAGACAATTATATTTAATTTTACAATAACGAGACAGAAGCCACATCTTAGCGAGGAGGATATTCTTAGGAATACAATTACCTATGTAAACGTACGTGCATATGTATATACATATGTATATAATCACGTGTCTCGTCTATGCAAAACTGTACAGAAATATGTGTTATGACTTTGCCTTTGTTCTGGAATATTTTTAGCGTATTCTCAGAAACAGCAAATCCCATAGCGCCAGCCATAAAGTTTTGCGAACGCGTTGAATTCGCATGTGAGGGCCGTACAGACGGCGACAGGGGCAGGGACTGAGACCAGACAAAGACAAAGGCAGAGACAGGAACAGAAACATAACTATAGAGAGTGAGACAGGGACAAATCGAGAGAGAGATAGAGAGAGGACAGACAGTGACAGAGATAGCAGAGGGCAGGCTGTATTGTGAGTGTGACACACAAATAAAGTCATAAACTGTTAAATCAAGCATAAAACCCTCGAATATCCTTTCGCGCAGCGCTGCTTTCTTTGCATTATGCAGGATAATTGTGGACGAGGCTAGCGACCAAAAGCCGCGTCGCACAGGATGCCTAACGTCGAATATCGAATGTCGTATGTCGCCGCATGTCCTTGGGATTCACTTTCGCGGACGTCTCGTCCAAACAGGTGCTACAAGTTGAACAACAGATCAGATCATCATCAACTATGGCCAGCCGACAGTCTAGCTATTGGCCAGCCAGCTCTACAGGGCTACAGGGCTACAGGCCTACCTGGGCAGCCAGATTCGGCTAGATCTGAACGGGAACAAACTCACGTAACGTCAAATCCCAGGCTAGCCGGATTTCGATCAAAACAAGCCTCTAGATTGGCCCTGGACTTGGAATTGGCTAGTCTGGCCGGTGCCAGACGCACATTCCGCAGCAACCAAGACAGAGACAGCGACAGCGACAGCGACTGCAATAGGCGGGCAGCCGGACAGTCGGGCAGTCGGGTCGGCCGGCAGCGTCAACCATATACAAAAGGATTTATGGCCCGTGCGCGAGTTTAGGCAAATTTTGGCAAGCCCACCGACTGACTACCTAGCCAACCTATATATTGCACGAGTGTGCTCGGCCAGGACATCACTAGCAATTCGGACAGCCAAGCAGCAGCACACGCAAGATGTCATCCGTCATGCATTACTATCCAGTGCACCAGCCCAAGATGAACGCCTATTCAGCTCCCTCGGTCAAGTACAGCAATGTAAGCATCAAGCAGCTCACTAAACCAAGCTAAAGGTTGGCTAATCTCTCTTCTCTATCTCCCTCAACATTAGCTCCTGTACGGCCACCATCACAGCACGCAGCCAGTGACAATGCAGCAACTGCAGCCGGTTCCAGTCGTGCATACAATGCCCACCTACCAGCCGCCCACGACGCTGCCGCAGTCTGTGGGAGAGCAGCCCGGACAGCAGCTCTCGTCCGACGAGAATATGCCGCTGCAGCCGGCGCAGGAGCAGCGCGTCAAGCTGAAGCGATCGCGCACCGCCTTCACCAGTGTCCAGCTGGTGGAGCTGGAGAACGAGTTCAAGAGCAACATGTATTTGTATAGGACGCGCCGCATCGAGATCGCACAACGGCTATCGCTGTGCGAGCGGCAGGTGAAGATCTGGTTCCAGAATCGGCGCATGAAGTTCAAGAAGGACATCCAGGGCCATCGCCAGCGCGATTCCAAGCCCAATGCCAAGCTGTCGCAGCCACAGACGGAGCAGAGTGCTCATCGCGGCATCGTGCAGCGTCTAATGTCCTACTCCCAAGATCCAAGTGCTGAAAAGCGGTCAACGAACTTGACCCCGCCCGCTATTCCGGCCACGCTGCCGAATTCCGTGCAGAACTACTATGCGCCGGCAAAGCCCAAGCCTAAGCCCCAATCAATGGCCAGTGGCACATCTGACCTCAGCGAAATTCTAGAACATCTTGCCCAGTCCACAACCACGCCCGCTTCGAATGCGCCAACTACGAGCTCTGTTTCCAGCGGACACTATTCCTACAATGTGGATCTGGTGCTGCAGAGCATCAAGCAGGATCTGGAAGCAGCGGCGCAGGCATGGTCCATATCCAATCCAGCGCAGAGTAGACAGCATTCCAACGAGTCCCATGCCAACTCATCGATCTCCATGAATCTATCATGGGGCGAGCCCGTGGCCAAGTCCAGAAAATTGAGCGTCTCCCACATGAATCCCTGCACATACGATTATCACAACTGATGCCCTATTTGATAATGTACAATTTATAATTGATACTTGATAAGTTTTATTTTATTTTTATTTTTTTCTGTTAAGTATTCGTCCCTGGTAAGAAAATGCCCTCGCCGACGCAAAAGGCTCAACTCAGTGAAACATTTTAAGCACAGTCAAATATTAAGAAGCTTCTTCTAACTCAAAGAAATTATTATAGAAATAGTATTAGTAACAATAAACAATAATAATAATAAAGCAAACATTGCAACAAATAGTCTTTCTTTTAGTCTTAATGTGTCATTTATTTTCAGTGTAAATTTTCTAAGCAAGTGCCCAAAATTTCAAATATTTTATATTTTGGATTCGTAATATTTTCGTAAAATTTTTGGCACATCTTAAAGTTTTATAAATTATCAATATGTTTAAAACAAATTGTTTAGTTCTTCTGAAAATTTGTATAGGATTTTATAACAATTAGATTGTCATTTTTACCACTAAATCAGTAAACAAAACTAAAAAAAAAAGTTAAAATCAAATAAATGTTAATATAAACTTAACTTAAACAACCAATATTATATGATAAGTTTTTTTCCCCCCTCTTAACACCTTTCCAGTTGTTGATACACAAAAGTATTTATTTATTTTCAATACGTTCTATACACATTGAGATAAAAAGAAAACTTATCACTTAAAGCGAGACCTTTATTCTATATTAACCCTCAAACAGACTTGCTTTTCCCAAGAGAGTTGCATTTTAGAAATGGAACAGCAGCATATCCATCATTCCTAATGTCAAAGCGTTTAAATGAGCAAAGAGTTCATTTTTGTGGCATACTTAAACAGTGGAAAAAGCCGATCCACCGGCCACGCCCGCCGCACTGGGCAGGCTTTTCACTTTTGCATTTAATGTCCTCTTGCGGCTTGAGGGTCAAGTCGAGGAATTCCAGAGGCAACGGCAGAGCCAAATGCCCGCTTGTCTGACCATCTATTAATGCAAGAGCAAAGTGTCAACCGCATTTGCCTTAAACGCAAGCCGAGGCTCAGGCCCAGTGGTCATCTTGAACAATTTGCCGGAGAGAGTGCGGCTGGGTCTACGGGGAGGTACGAAGTGCTACGATTTGATTTATGGATATTTAACCGCACGCATTACTAGTACTCGTGTCGAGTTGTTGGGACACTTGTTTTTGGGCGACATCTTTGTGGATATACGACTCGACTGCTGTTGCTGTTGCTGTTGCTGCGGATGCTGGTCTAAGGAATGTCCTCGAGAAGAGGGACAAACACACACACACACTCACTCACATGCCACAAAACACGCTTAGTTACTCCGGCTTGAAGTGACTTTTGGGGTTTGGCCTGGGGTTGGGTCTGGGCCGTGGCAAATCGCTTCCCCTGGGAGAAGGAAATTCGTCAGTGCGTAAATAGTGCCAAGGCGCTGGCCCAACCAAAAGGGGTGGGACCTTGGAATTTTCATGCGCATTGTTGACATTTGCGAGCATGTGTCAGACGCGTTTGCGGTAGCCACAGGCAATGGCAAGTCCTTGACATCACATGTCCTTCGCCTTGCTCTCACACACACACACACCCACACATTTCTCTGCCATAATGAATATAGATGTGATTTCGGCTTGGAGGCGTACCGGGGCGTGGCTAATCGTCTGGCCAGTTGAACGCTGCTAATCAAAGCCGCATAAAACGCCAGCTGCAATTACGCGAAATACCATTGTAATAAACATGTCCAACAGATTGTTTCAATTGTAGTTTCCTTATGCCTTATTCCTTGTGCCATCCGTATCCAACCATTCCGCGACTCAATCATTCCCAACTGAGCGCGGCACTTGCTCCACTTTAACTGTAAGCAAAATATTGTCATTTTATTGGATGGCGGCCGCTGATGAGCTGCCTCAAGATGAGGCAGCTGAGGCAGATGAGGTCCTGCCTCTGCCTTGGCCTGGTCATAACAATAAATTCCGAACCGCAATCGCTGACTCGAACAGCCCTGTCACGCCCCCATCCCTTCAGAACCAAATGGTTTCTTGTTAATTAAATTAAATATTCACTCGGCTTCTGCAGTTGGAGCTGTAGCTGTGGCTAGTGCAAGGCCCGCCAGAGCAGCCGCGACAATTTCTAATTAGATTGAATCTATAATTTTTATGGCTAATCGCAGCGCGCGTTTTCAGCTCTGAATTTTGAATTTGCGGCTTTCACGGCTCTTGCCAATTATTTCTTAAACACTTTGCCAAGCAGCCACAAAGCTAGAAAATGTATTTTGTGTGCTAATTAAACGGGCTCTTGGCTAACCACGATTCGCCTCTGCCTCATAAATTAATTGGAATCGCAAGCGAAAGAGTGGAAATATTTGTGTAGAGATTTTCTGCCAACAGAATTTTATAGTGTGCTAAAACGTTTGCCATTTTCATATATATTATTTTTGTTGATTTGTTTTTAATGTAAACTTAAAACAAGATTTTATAATATAAACCCAAATATTATTTACTTTTAATTGACCGTAATTATAAATTTAAAAAAAAAAAACCTCTCTGAGTTATTATTGTTATTGTCAAATTATGTATATGCTAGAATATGTGCCAATACATGAACCTATAAAATTGTTGTAGATCTCTGTCTATCTAATTTTTGAGGGTCAATTAATGGCAAGGCTTCACTAGAGCTCTATTAACTTAGATATATAACTTATTTTGTCTAGTTTTTATATATTCCTATACTTATGTTTAAGTATATTTATTACATTATATATTGCTATATTAAAATATAAGAGAGCTCCATGGAAAGTCTTTCTAATAGTTTCTACATATAATTTTCTTATTCCGAATTATATTCTATTTATTATATATTAACTATAGCTCATTACTTAGCTGAGGCAAATGGTTCAAAAGAACTTTACTTCATGCAAGAAATTCAATTAAAAATCAACTCACTTGAATAATTTTAGAATAAATATAATTTATTTCCATATATATGTATTTATATATATTATGTATATATATTTAAATAAATCTACATACTTATATTTTGATGGTTTTACAGTTGAATTAATACCTTGAATTAATTAAGATTTGAAAAAGTCTTAAATTATTAATGATCAAAGGAAACCGAAACTCTAGACAGATATTTGATTTGAGGTGCTAATTGAATTTATATTCTTTGCCACGTGGGCAATACTTTAATATCGTATCTTTATAAATAATAATTCATTCAGGTAATTTCAGCATGTACCTCAAATTTAACTTGCTCCTAGTTCACTGAGCCCAGTCTCTGCTTTTAACATTTGGTACGCTCTTCGGTTGCTTTCAGTATTTTTGGCACGTTTAAACGTTATGACATTTCACAGACGTGTTAGTCCCTCAACGCTGCCAATATGGCAACACCTGTCGTATAAACAGGCCAAATGTATGCCCCGTTCCCAGTTAACCAAAAAAACAAAAAAACAAAAAATGATATGAAAGTTTTTTCAGCTCACAAAATTTGCACATGGCAATGGAAGCGAATAGCAGGCGATGCGAATGTGTAGGCAGACCCAAGTTCCATGGTTAGCCTCAGCCTCTGCCCTGCTTGCCACGCCGTGAAAAATAGTGGGAAAGGCCTTTCCATATGTCTCTGTGCGAAGAAGAATCAAGTGGGCTCAACTGCTGTTGCTCTGTATTCTACGGCAGGATTCGCACGTGAAAAAAATTCACTTTAACATCTGAATGCCAATTGCGCACCTTTGGTCCTTCTGCACAGGATTGTCGCTGCCATACACCGCATCCGCACATCCTGTGCGCAATACAACGGTAATATTGTTTGTTGTACCCAACATAGCTTGAATCATGGGCCAAAGTCGTGAGGCTGTTGCCCGCATCTGTTGCTGCTCGCATTTCGGACTTTGCTCGGGGGGCTAAAATAATGTGCGACAAAATTTGAATATTTGATTATTTCCTCAAAATACGCACGCGTTTCTATACACCAAATACCAACTGATTGCAGCGCCCCTATAGATAATATATTGAAATATAATGTAAATTTAAACGATTTTACATTTGAATATTTATGATTGAAATGTTCAAGCTTCGACTACAAATTTGATTGTTTTTTGTGCTCCTAATCAAGGCTACAACTGAAGCTTGAAACGAATCGGTTTGATCGCTAGTGTAAATTGAACCTTGAACTGGCTTAGGTAGAATAAACAGCAACTGAGTTTCAATTTTCATTAATTTAGCATACAAAAGAGCCTTTGTCTATGAAGTATTTGGTATTAGATTATATAAGATGTTACTTTGATACATTACATTTTAAATAATTATATTGAAAATGTATAAAAAATTAATATAATAAAAAATAAAATAAAAAATAAATTTGAAAATTCTGCTTTTGGTATTAGATTATATTGGGTGTTATATTAAAGTAATATATTTAACATTAACTTATATTATAATAATTATAATAAAAATTTATAAAAATAATAGACATTTATAAAAAAAATAATTTAATAAAACAACAAAAAAAAATAAATAAATAAAAAAAAAATAAAATAACAAATAATAAAAATTGGAGATAAAAATAATTAAAATAAATACAAATTAAAAAATTCTGCGAATCTGCCCTTGCACATTCGAAGTTTAAAACGACGACTTAGCTATCATCGTCTCTTTTTATGAAGTGTATAACTTATTTTAAGCTCAAACTTCTTAAAGGTGTTTAGTCTAATGGGCAGTTCTACTCATGTTTCGCACCACATCTTAAACTTTAATTAACATAAAAATATAATATTAATTGTATAATAATATTCAAGTGTCATCAGAATGAAGGGTGTTTATTCCAATAAATCATTCCTGTCAACTCACATTCAGCAACTGCCTTTTGCTGCATGCTGTTGTTGACCTCCCAATAAGGATATCTATAACTTTATGCACATACATATATACATATATTTGTACACATATAAATATATATAAGGATGTGCCGGCTCAGTTGGCATATTTATGAGCCAATGGCCGGTATATTTTTCATGATGTAAAACCCACAATTAAATTACATGAAATCCATTTGTAACAATTACG